ATCTGAATTAGTCTCTAATTCTCCTCTTTTGTTTGCTTTTTTCCTAGGATGAGAGGACATCAGAACTCCAAAACCTATGGTTTACATTGGCTACTGATAGTACCCCTGTGGACCAGGAAGCAAATTGCATAAAGGTGGTATTGAACTTATCACAATAATGCTTTTTAAGGATGACCTTTGAACCACAAAGTAGCTTCAAGGCTGTGAACATCCCTCAGGACACAGTGTGTCTCCTGCAGATGCCTAAAAGATGCCTTGAAGACCCACATGCTGACTTTATGTGGTAACTGCCTCTTTGGTTGTGACTGTCCTTTGCTCCACGTGGCATCAGGCTGCTGTGGGGGCTGCCCAGCTGTGCAAACACACCTGTGGGCACCAGCACCAGCTCACACACCAGTGCCGCCACATTGGGCAGTGGCAGCACATCACAGCCCCTCGGCTCCCTCTGCCACTCTGGTACTTTGGCACTGGTGAATAATCTCTCTTTTCTTTCGATTTCTTCCCCGTTTTCTTCTTTTTGCGTATACTCCCTATTTTCCTATTTTCCTGACTACTCTTTTTTTTTCTGTGCTGCAGCTCCCTCTCCCTCTCCCTCTCCCTCTCGAGATAGGCACACACGAAAACAGAACTGAAAGCTCAGATTTTGCAACATGCAAAACAATGCAGCAAGCAACAAATGGACCTATAGGATATGTCGAACCACTCAAAGCTCTGACCACTGCTGGGTGTCTGTTATTCAATATATGGAGAAAAGAGAAGATGATGCAGGGAGCTTTGATACAATGATGCATTTCAGTGCTTTTACTATTTCTGAAATTGTTTACTGCAAAATAGACCATATGGCCATACCCCCTCATGCCAATGTATACTCAACACAAAGCTCATGTAGGACAAGACAGTGCTACATGAGCACAGGAGATGTGAGGAATTTGGAGGCTGGGATTAAACTAGTATGAATTATCCAGTCAACAAAAGGGAGGGAGCTAGAGTGAGATTGAAAAATATTTATACTCTACAGTATTTTTGGAAAAGATTTAGTGTATTTAATTTGAGAGTTCTGGAGTTCATTTTCCCTAGCTAATTACAGAATGGGAATCTTCTTTACTAACTCATTAAAGATGAATGCAAGTGGTAACAGAATACATTTTTTTCTCACATACTTAGCAATGGAAACATGAACATATAAACTGATCAGGCTTTAAGGGGAACATATGCATATTGGGTAATGGTACAGCCACATCAATGCAGTTCATCTACTAAATGTTCCCTTAGCAGGTTAGTTATTAGTTATATTTTACGCCTATGTCATAAATGTAACAGATATACCACTGTGTTCATACCAGCAGTTAAATATCATTCCTTGTTATTAAGTCCCATAGCTATGTGATAATGTCACTGGAAATTATTATTACAGTAGACAGGGACTTGCATGACCCCTGCTGGGTTGTCTTTTCCAAACTCTGTAAATGAACCTTGTAATCGACAAAGTCTTTTTGAGAGATGAATAATTAAATTCTTACTATCATGTAATTTGTTACAGTAAGGCAGAAATTCTTATTTTCATTTCCTATCTTGTTCTCTGGAAAAGTAACAAAAGCATGCTGGATTCCACCTGGCATTTTTACTCATTGTTTCAAGTTGTTGGACTGAATGCAGAGAAATTAATGAGAAATCTTGTCACGCTGTTGAAACGAGATAGTTCTCATTGACTCCAAGATGGACTTATTTTTAAAACTAAGGTATTTTCTTAAAGAATAATACAACTGTTTAGTGAGAAAATACTTTGGCTAAATGCAAGTTATATGTGAAATGTAGGGCTGCCTTATTTGATAAACCATAAATATATTTATTATATCATAATATAACATATATATTATTTTATATAATATAAATATATACATATAAAATTAAACCAAACATGTTTTATATAATATAAATATAAATATTTATTTTTATATAATATAGATTTTGTTTCATGGAGCACCTAGTGACAAAAGGAGGATTAACGCATAATTTTTGAGGCACACTGCCAAGTGACAGCAATTTTCACTTGTTTAAAATGCCTGTTTACATTAGGTTATTTAAATTATTACCGTTATCTTAGCAGAACACTGAAATATGGGGAGTAAGTCTTAACTTTACCCACAACAAATTCAGCAGAAGGATATCTGGATACAGTAGAGATACTAGTTTGGATCAGAGGGAAGGAGAGAGCTCATAGGGACTGTACAGCCTGACCACTTGTAGACTCTGCAAGGCTGCAGCAAGCTAAAAGGCCGAAGCTGTGCAAACAGGCAGTGCTGCCAGAACACTGATCTCCACTTACTGCTCCCTGCCCATAGTTTCCAGCCCCAAACAAATCGGTATCATGTAACAAACCAGGTGATAAATGGAGGTGCACATCAGCAGTCCTCCTTTACACTAGCAGAAAAGATAGCTGCTTCTGTTATTAGATAGTGTCTCCAGGTTTTGTCGCATAACAGCTAGACAAATCTATTTCCAGACATTTTCCTGTATCCCCTTTGGGGAAGAGAAATTTACTGTTCTTATGCTCTACACATTTTAGTGTGACACGATCATTTTACTTGCCCCCTTCGAAGCAAGGCAGATCTCTTTTACTGCACCATCCATCTACCTCTGAGAAGTAAAATATGGCTTTTAGCAGGATCTGGATACTGTATCCCTCAACAAGACTACTTCTGATGAAAATACACTCCCTTAGGCCCTAGCAGTAGCTAAGTATGTGCTGATATACGGATGACATATTTCCTGATTAGTTGCAAAAAGAATAGTTGTAATTTACCTTATAAAAATACAAAATGAATCCACCCTAAAAGAGAAAAGTAGTTTTATTAATTCAGCACTTCTCACACAGCTCCTTAGTAAAAATATATGTGTTATTATAAGATAGATACAGTTACATAATGAAATAAAAAGCCCCAATGGATTTTATTAAAATACAATTAAAGCAAGCCTTTTTTTTTCAAGGGCTAAGATCTTAGAGGAAAAAGACTAAGGAATGACTACATCTAAATAACGCTTTAACTATTGAAAGCAACAGCTACATTAGAGCTTATACATCCATCAGTTTAACATTCACATTTGTGTAATAAAGCCTTCTTTATATGTAGAAGTTCTAGCTGCCTCACATGCAGACTGGTACCAGCGTTTGCATGGGGGTAGTTAATCCTCTCTTTCAAAAAAAGAACTTCTCCAGAAAAAAACCCATGAAGAGCGATTTCTTATTTACCTAAATGTAAGAACATGAATGTTTAGGTAAACGTAAGAAATGAAAGAACAACAGAAAAAAACAGAGGAAGAGCTGTTTTCTGGAGATCCAGCAGACCTGTTATTTTTAAAATATTTTGCAGGACATTCAAGAGCAGTGATAGGAGAGGAGAGCAGGTATACAGGCAGGTCGAGTAGATGCATAGCCACTGCCTCTATTTTCAGCTGACAAAAGCCTTCAGCTTTGGCGATACAGTGTTTTCATCTTTCTGTGCAGTACAAGTTCTTCCAATGAGACTGGACTTCCCAGGGCACTGGTGGCTAACCTATTGTTTCTAAACTGGTTTGCCAGTTTGCTGGTTCATATATAGCCTAGGAAATTAAAGTCATGGCCTGTGTGAAATGAGTCGGTAATAGCCATCAATTACCTGGTAGAGAGGCCAGCCCAGGCAGCTCAAATCATGCCCTGGCTGACAGCTGAGAAGAGATGCAAGGGAGTAAATGCTTTCATGGACTGAGCTGCATTCTCCTCCTCAGGGTCAGAGTCCTAGGTTTGAAGAATAACATGAAAATTTTGGGGCTTCAACATTATTCCTTCTATTTATAAAGTTTAGCTTCTATTAAGCTATAATAAATGAACTCAATTTTGAAAGAGAAAACAAAGTGAAGCTGTAGGATTGCAGTGGAATATTAGGCAAAGCCTTGTAAGCATTCCCCGGTAAAATGGCCAAAGTAAAACTGTAGCAAACTCTCTTCTCTCTCTAACCTATCATCCAGATTTGGGGAAAACGGCTCAAAGTACTAACTTGACAGGTATGTGCAGAAGCACAGCTCTTGTACATCATCAAGAAAAGCAGGGGGCTTAAGGAACAATTTGTTTAGTTTGGGCACATTTAAAACTAGAACCAGTGAAGAACTAGGGATGTGAATAGCAAGTGATAAAGCCTCCTGATGCAAAATTAATTGCGTATTTCTGGATTAAAATGCAGGCAGGCAGTAAGAATCTTCATGTGCTGATCCACACAGGCACATGGCTCAATGCCTCTGCCCTGGTGCTCTGTGGAGAAGAATGAATGCAGGAGTTAAAATTCCAGTAGGCAGCAAGTCTGAATACACAGCTGCTACAACACCAAATACTTTAACTTAGGTGGCCATAGGCATCTCGACATCTTGATTAACCAAAAATTCTATTTCATCTAGAATTAAACCAACAAGATCTTGTTTTGTTCTAAAAACCTATTTTCCATAAAACCAAGTCTACTGGCACTCAAATGAACTGCAATTACTGAGAAATCATACGTTTTAAAAACTCCAGATACATTTTTTTATTTTTTGCTTTTTTCTTCTTCTCCCATGCCTGCCACCCATGGTATTCAAATACTAGAAATTTGTATTATTTTTTATTCACAAAACCAAAAACATTGGCATGGGTTTTTCCAAAGTAATATCTGGAAAACAAAATGCACATGTATGCTTGCAGTTTCACGCCACGTAAAATACCTGGAAGAGACTCAGATGTATGCTATATCTGACCGTACACATCAGGCAACAGCACACAGAAATAACAGTAAGGAGTAGGAAACTGAGGCAACATGGGTACTACATTCAGAGTAGGATGCAGAGGAACAGATGCAGTGGATCACTGAAACTCATTCAAGAACTACTGAAGTCAGAGTAGGCACCTGACGTATGATGCATTTAGGCCAGCCTGCTGGAAAACCGTGAGCTGAATCAGTTTTTGCGATTGTTAAATCGCCCCTGTATCGGGAGCTATGGGGTTGATTGCACAGCCTCACCTCACCAAGAAACCACCAACCTTCGAGGAAGAAATAACTGAGGTTGGACCGCTTTTCAACGGAAAGCGCTGTGCAACAAGCTAACAAGATTGGCCCGGGCACCTCGGGCCTGACACAAGGCCAGTGACCCCTGTCCGAATGCTGCGGCTCTGGGCTTCGCCACCCTCCGGCCCCTCCGACAGCGGAGAAGGCACCGTCCTACCCCGCGGCTGGACACCCGCCCGCCGGGCTGGGCGAGCGCTTCCTGGCAGCGCAGGGAGCTGCTTGCCCCGGGCCCTCCAACACAAACGGAGGATGCCGAGGTCACACGTTTCCTCCGGGAGGTCCGGGGCAGGGCCGTGGGAGCGGGGCCGGCGCGGGCAGTGGAGGCCAGCCCGAGTCAGGACCGAACGCCACCACAGCCGCAGGGGCAGCCCGCGCCCCTCAGCCCGCCGCGTCCCGCCGCCGGCATGAGGCGGGCTGGGCCCTGGTGCCTGCTCCTGGCTGCGGCCTGCGCCCTGGGCCGGAGCCCGCCACCCCCGCGGGCCGCCGTGCGCTGCCCGCCCGCCGGCGCCTGCTTCAGCGCCCACCTCGCCAACGTCTCGTATGCCGAGGCCCGCGGCGCCTGCGACCAGCGGCGGGGCAGCCTCGCCTGGGTCAGCGGCGAGCCGGAGCTGCGCCTGCTGCTGGGGCTGGCAGAGGCGGCCGTGCCCGCGCCCGCGCTGTTCTGGGTCGGCCTGAAGAGAAACGCCCCCGCCTGCACCCACGAGGAGCAGCCGCTCCGCGGCTTCTCTTGGGAGGGCGTCGGGGGTGGGACGAACCCGCAGGAGGTGCCGGCGGCGCTCGGCCGGTGGCTGCAGGAGCCCCTGCGGTCCTGCCTCACCGCCCGCTGCGCTGGGCTGCACCTGGCGGCCCACCCCGAGCACGGCCGCAGCTGGGGCTGGAAGGAGCGGCTCTGCCAGCTGAAAAGCCCGGGCTACCTCTGCAAGTACGAGTATGAGGGTGCCTGCCCCGACCTCAGTCCCGCGGGCGCCCTCCACCTCGACTACTGGCTCCCCTTCGAGGAGCGCAGCGGCGGCCCCGGCTTCAGCCCGCCGGGCACCGTGCTGACGGTGGCGTGTCCCGGCGGGGAGGTGCGGCTCACCTGCCAGCCCGAGCCGGGCGGCTTCGCCTGGAAGGCGACAGAGAAGCCCCTCTGCCCCTGCCCCTTCGGCGGCAAGAGCTCCGACAGCGGGCGGTGCGCCGAGGCCGCCGGGTGCCGCGATGCGGGCGGCGGCTTCGCCTGTGCCTGCACCACGGGCGGCCCGGACGGAACTCCCTGCCCGGCCACGGGGCCGGGCCCCACCGCTGCAGGCGGCCCCGTGGAGCCGTCGAGTGCCGGGGGGGAGGGGCGGTATCCTTCCATCCCGACACCCGCCGGTTCCACGGAGCCGCCCGCCACCACCACGGCCTCCGCCGGCGGAGAGAAGGCTGCTCCTCCGCCTCCCTCCTCCTCCTCCAACTACGTTTTCATCCTGGTGACGGTCGCGGTGGTGGTGCTGATCATCCTGGTCATGACCGTCCTGGGGGTGTTCAAAATCTGCTTTAACAAGAAATCCGAGGGCCGGGGGAACAAGGAACCGCCGGAGGCCGGCAGCAAGACGGAGACAGGCTCCGCGGAGCCCAGCGGAGCAGCGGGCGGTGAATAGCCCCGGACCGCCGAGGCCGCGTCCCTCGGGGCTGCGCTGAGCGGCTGCTCCCACCCGGGCCAGCGCTCGGCTCCCCACGTCCCTCCTGCCCCCAAGCCCTGCTGCCGCGGGGAGCCCAGGGAGAGGCGCCGCGGGACTTGGCTGGGCAGGGCTTGCACGTTGCCAGACGCAGGAGCGCGTAGCGACGTTCTTTTGAGGGGATTGAAGTCTTTGGACAGTCATGAGTTTTTGTCGGTCTGGAAAACAGTTATTTCGGTGCTGATTTCACTTAAATATAAATAGATCAGCCTGGCCGACAGAGCGATTGCAGCTGCAAGAATTGTGCATTTTTATCCTCTCAGAAACTGTTCTTCGGGTGCCTTACTTGGAGCAAGCATAAAGTGGACCAGTTTGAGCACTTGCATCTTGTAATTTAGAAGTCACTCCTTGCCCGAGTGCTACTTGGAGGCTCTCGTTTTCAATCTAATTGCTGGAACTTTTTGGAGAGGTGAACTGCCATAATTTTAGATGAAACTGCAACCCATATACTTTCGTACTGACATACTTTAAAAATAAAAGAGCATTTCTATACTTAGAAAGTCATAAAACTGCTGAGGAAGTGAGAGGTTAATGGGGAGTCAGTTTTATACTTCAGCTGACGAAAAGAATAAAGGACGATGTAAATCACTGCCCTGTTTTTTATTTCATACTCGTTTTTATTGTAGCAGAGAATAAATTTTTCTGTTACAGTTTTTATCCTAAGTCGTGTTGTTGCAAAACTTGCTTTCTGTATGCAATATGTGGCTCCCTTAGAATCGGAAAAGGCGCTGACACACTCTACTGCAAGAGGAGTTAACGTGAGTCCAAATACATCATGCAAATCTCATTCTTGTTAGTCAGATATATTGTTTTCCATGGAGTCCCTTGAGAATAAGGAAAGATTCACCGTTAGTGCCCTTTTCTAAATGAGGTAAACACTTCCTCTGTGATTTCCCTTGGGAATTCCTGTAGAGGAGCTTTCATCCTGGCTGCAGAACTTGCTTTCTGTGCAGTTCAGAGTGCTGCTCACTTTATTATTATTATTATTATTATTATTATTATTATTATTATTATTATTATTATTGTGTTAGTTTTCAATTAAAGTTGTAATATTAAATATTGATTCAAAGTTTTCTGAGTGCAGTTATACACAGCTAACTGGTCTCATCCAAGCTTCTTGGGGAGAATAGGGAAATATTTTCTTCCCTTAGGAGGACTTTAAACTCTGAAGTGATTCTTTAAATATACTTGTTTGTTTTCCTCTCTTAAGAGCTGACATTCTGACTACTGCTTTAATTTTGACACTTTCCTGTTGAGTTTGAAGAACTCTGTTTCAAAAAATAATGTTGTTATTATTACCTGTTTTTCTTGCAAGCCAAGACTTGATGATAAATATGGTGTAAACATCTGCTAAGGATAAAGAACTATGCACTGTAAGTTTTTTGTTTTTCCCTCACTCTCCCTTTAATGGTGATAGGCAGTTGCTATCTGGGAAACAGTCTTTAGCTTTTGGTAAGGAGGTCCCTGATGTTTGTAAGCCATCAGACTGACTGTAGCCATAAATTCATTTGTATCATGACAGGAATTAAATACAGCTAGGTGAGAATGCTGCTCATTACAAGGTGACTCATAATCTGCATATTTTTTCTAATCTATTTATCTGGAATTTATATTTCAGAAGGCAGGAGGCTTGATTCTACATTCAGATGTTCACAGATTTGGAAAATGATTTAGCCATTAATGCCTTATTTCTTAATAACACTCCTGTTGCTATCACTGTAAGTAATTTCTTTTATGGGGTGTTGTATGTGGAGCTCTCCTCTTCCATCAGGGGCTGTATAAGCAAGTAGCAACTAAGATGAATAAGAGCCTCAATAAATTATTTTTTTTTCTATGTTTCAGTCTTTCTCACAGATAGCTGAACTCTTGATGGGCCCTTCCAGGTGTGTTTTTCTAAACTCTAGGAACTCTCTCATTCTCTGTTTCTGGAGTCTTACCGAGCACACAATTAAGTTCTGAGTTAAGCACCTGTCTACTTATTTTGGCATCTCTCAGTATGTGACTCAGGCTATTTAGTTAAAATATACAAGTCCAGGCCCTTGCAAGCCATTCAACTGTCTCATAATTTCCATTTTACTCTTCCTGTGAAATCATGTTTTGATTTGAGAGTTCTTTTTCTCACACAATTCAGGATCATTGGACATTTGTCTAGAGGAATACACAACGGTTCTACTATGTTCCCTCAGCTTATAATTTGGCTTATCTGAAACCAGACTATTTTGTATCTAAAGATGGGATCCATCATGTGTAGGCATCGCCAACAATTCATACAGACTTTTTTATTTACCTGGACTGTCTTACTGCCTATAGAGATAAATATGTGCTTGCAATTAATCTCATTTTAGACTAGATGCTGAAAACAGGACCAATGAATTACATCCTGAAAGTGCCCTTTCTCTGCATTGACTGTAAAGAATGCATATGGAGGCTACTTATATTTAAATGCCTGTAAAATACTCATTTAAAATTAAATCAGAAAAATCAGCTCACTTAAGTCTCCATCTGTGCAAGTCACTTTTCTAAAAGCAAGCTTATGGTGCCTTCTGTCTCTTCAAGGCATGGCTAAATGGTCATAATTTTCTTACTGCTTTTATTGCTTTTACATGTTAGAGATTCTTGTTTAGTATATCTGGGGTTCTTTACCTTATTTTTGCAGTCAGTAGAGTACAAAACAAATAGCATTTGGATTTGTTTGGAACCTGAGCAGGTTTGAAATGCATGAATTTTTCTTTCTCTAATGGTTCAGACCAAAAAGAAGATGGTTTGGGAGAAAGAATTGATCATTTTTGCTTTCCATTCTTGATCAAATTGGGTCTTTAGTGAATAAGAAACCAACACATACCTGTCATGCAACCATTGGTTCATATCACAACTGTGATTCACTGTTCTGCAAGGCAGATTCAGAGCAGGGTTTGCTGTTTACATTCATAGAAGGAGAATAAGTAATATCATAATGAATACATATAATCATAATAAATACTGAGATTACAAAAGGGTCTGGTTATGAAAGTGGATGCAATTTTTTTTTTAAAAAAATGTAACACCATGTAAAAAACACATAATCAAATGCAAGTATTTTTCCAAGACATGGCCAGGATAGAGACAAATCTTGACTTTTCTCTCATGTTGCATACATATCCATTGACTAAACATTATATAAGCATATTATAATCCAACTGTTTTTCCAGCATAGGAAAAAATATTATTTCATCCCATATTGAACCATATAAATCACATATAAATTTTGTAACTGTGAATTTTACAATGTTTACATATGTAATGAAACGGTGATAGCAAGAAACTGTTAGTCTACATTTGAAAATGTGATTCCTTCAAAGAATAGGAATGTCCAGATCTCTTGTCTATCACAGTTATACAAAAAGTGTCCCATGTTGCCAATTTTGGATTTCCTTAATTCTTTCAAAGATAGTTTGACTGGTAGGCGTATCATTTTTCAGCTGCACATTTTATTTATGAAAAACTGATGAATTTTTAATTGTTTGTTTCATCAAATAATCAGAAATAAAATTTTAATTTCTACATATTTTTAAAAATAATGATTTATGCTGCTAAGGGCTTAATTAGGTGCTCTATGGCATTGGATAAGAGGGCATGGGAAAAATTTGAGTACTTCTGACATTTCTCCTTGTGTATCGTATAGATTAAAGAATATTAAAAGTCTAATGGATTCTGTGATTTCCCTGGAAATTTCTTATCACTTTATTTTTTTCATGTTTTAAATCCCAGTTATCTTTCCTCAGTTATTACATGGAGGTCAATCACTGGTAGATGCAATGTAATTCCTTTTAGAAATAATATTATTTATTTCTTCAGTATGTGGACACTTACCAAGACTGTAGTGTGGCGATTCATATATTTCACTAAAGATACATAATTGACTCAAAAGGCAAACACAGTACAGCAACAGAGAAGTAACCACATTCCCAGGGCTTCAAAACTTTAAAATTAATATTTTTTCTTCTTTCTCCAATATGCAGCCTTGTCTTTGTCTTCTGGGCTTGTAGTCTGGGACTGGAAGACTTGAAGGTGGATGTGTAAAGGGAGTCATCTGTTAGCAAGTCTTTTCCCTTTTCTGTATTGCTGACTAGAATCACAGAATCATAGAATGGTTTGGGTTCAAAGGGACCCTTAAAGATCATCTCGTTCCACCCCCATGCTGTGCGCAGGGACACCTTCCACTAGACCAGGTTGCTCAGAGCCCTATCCAGCCTGGCCTTGAACACTTCAAGGGATGGGGCATTCACAAATCTGCTGAGCAAACTGGTCCACTGTCTCATCACTCTCACAGCAAAGAATTTCTTCCTCATACCTAATCCATACCTACCCTCTTTGAAGCCACTCCCCTTTGGCCTATCACCACAAGCCCTAGGAAAATGTTCTTTTTCAGCTTTCTTGTAGGTACTGGAAGGTTGTTTGTAGGTACTGGAAGCCTTCTCTTTTCCAGGCTGAACAACCCCAACTCTTTCAGCCTGTCTTTGTAGGAGAGCTGTTCTAACCCTCTGATCATCTTGGTGGCCTCCTCTGGACACCAGCATGTCCACATCTTTCTTATGTTGGGAGCCCCAGAGGAGAACACGGTACTGGAGGTGGGCTGGAGGCAGCAGTGGAGCTGCAGAATGCAGAGATGTGGTGGTGGTCCTGCATTTATGTCCTCCCCCTCCTTCCACTTGCCAGTCCTTTTGCATTCTGAGCCAGAAAAATGGGAAAACAATTACTATTATGTATTTTATGGATAATATAAGAGAAAGAAACTGCAGGTCCACAGAGATGAGGAGCTGAGGAGGGAAAGATGAGACAGGCAAGCACCCATCTTTACCAGGATGTATATGTCCTAACCATCTTGCTGCATATGTTTTCAGGTGTTACTCAAAATGTGGTGGATTGCAAATAAGCATTTTCAGTCATTAAACCAGGAGCAGCACATGGGCTATAACCTGTCATAAAAGCATGTTTTTGTTTTTGGAATATAATCAGCAGGCCTTGTGTTTTTAGTTGATAAGAATAATTTACACTGTTCTCTGGAACATAACATAAGATCATAAGTACAGATAGCTTGAGTGAGATTTTAAGTGATCTAAGTCCATAATGTCTGTGCAGAGGAATGTGTTACATTACTTTTCATTCTTACGAGTATATATTTCTCTAAGGGAAAGGATTTTTTCCAGTCATTGTACTGAAGATTCTTTTCAAGTAAGAAATTCTGTAAATTTTACTTTATGATGGTAAAAGAGCACTGAAAATTCTTCTGTATTCAATTTCTGTCTTGTCAATATTGGATTCTTCTTGGTTTGTGTTGAGCAAAAAATTAAGACTTTATTTTAATGATAAAGTAAAGCGTCTGTGAAATTCAATGCATCTGAAAAATCCAAGCTAAATTAACATTCAGAAAATTTTATTATCTATCTGTTTCTGCCTTGTTTTCCTGAATTTCTAGTAATTCCATAAAGGACCTAAATTGTCATTTAGTTCTTAGAAAAAATGTCTAGAGACTTTATAACCTTCAAAAATAACAGCCAGCTTTGAAAACAGCAGCTGACATAAAAAGCACAACTTCATATTTTTTGGTGAGTTGAAAGTTCATGTATTTGCTGTATTTTAAACAGTGAAAGTTAGTTATGTGAAAGAGCCAAGTCCTGCTTTACAATGCCTGAACTGGACTCTACTTATTTTCCACTGTTCTTAACAAAATGGCCATCACATACTTGATTTTTCTCCATTTCAGATTCCTTCTCTCTCAGTCTGCTCAGTATCAAATATCCACCAGTTTTGCCTTCTTTTATATCCCCCAAATATCATGCTTTGCCACTTTTTGGACCTCTCCAGTTGACCAGCAATCCTTTGGGCTTTCCATTGTGAATCTGAGCATGGACAAGTGTTGTGTGAATGAGCCCAGCTTTTGCCGTACTCAGCCCGTGGCAGCGGCTGGTGTTGCCTGGCGTTTCTCAGCTTTAGGAAGAGCAGTGCAGTGCAGCACTGTTCAGAAGCTTTCCCTGGGCTGGGAGGGCTGACACATGCACTGACAACAGCACCATCACCAACTAGGTAAGTGCAGACAATACAACCCAGTTGCAAGTCATAAATGCAACACAATTCAGATCCCAAGTCAGAAATCTGGTAATTGTCCTACAAACTCCCAATGCAGTGAATTTGAGCACTTCTATCTGAGCCTTTCTAGTTAGGAAGCTCAAGAGCCCACAAAGCAGCCCTTAGGCATCTTAGACAGTGTAAGAACTTGTAAAGAAAATACTTTTTTTTTTTTTTTGCTTGGGTGTGTGGGGGCACAGGAATGGAGAGTAGAAGGAATTTTCTGTACATTTTTGTAGCTTTTAAGGTGACTCTACCCATCATAGACATGATAATCATATAAGGACGAATGTATTCCATCCAGACTGGACCCAAAAACTTGTATACCTCAGGCAGGATACATCACCTTGCTGTCTCTGTTTTATATCTACTTATTGCTCTGCCAAACCCAGATTTTAGGCTTTTGGAGAAACAAAGTTGGAAGGGAGTGGGCATAGTTTACTTTTATTGGAAAGCATCTGTCTTGTCAAAGTTGTGCTTGGTTTCTAGCCTTCTAGTGGTATACTTTGAAACACTCTCAGATTCTTGCCAATTTTTCTTGCCATTTCTCTCCACAAAATATAATATCTGAAAACACTTTTCTTAAAGAGAAATCTAATTAATAAACCATCCTTTCTTCCCATGGCTTAGCCTGAAGTTATCAACCAAATAAGGCTATGTTGAGGAGGATGGAAGTACTGAATACACAATTCAGTAGAAATATTTTATTCTCCTCTAGAGATTAATAATTCACATTCTTGTCTGTAGAGCCCTGGTGTCAAGTAAGGTTCCTAGGGATTGAAATCACAGAGTTTAGAACACTGGAATATTTTTCTTTCTTGGTTAATTTCTTCTGACTTTTTGAAATTATTTTTCTTGGTTCTTTTTTTAATTAGGACTATAAGACATTAAATTGTCACTATTCTAGAAATATGGCAGAATAAGGTCAAACTTTACATAACATGAATGTATTACATCACTGAGTTATTTTATTTCAATAAGACTTAGTTTATTATTTAGAATTAGGATGCTGATTTTGGAAACAGGTTAAAATAGAGTGAATAGTCACAGTGTTAATAGAACATGCCACATACATTAGAAATGCAGATTTCCAGAAACAACCAGAAAGTCTTTTTTAAAATTCTGATTCATTGGAAAGCTGGCATTTCAGAAATTCTTGCAACACATTCAGAAAACTGATTCTCATTCTCTGTGAAGAAATCAAATGGGGTTTTCAAGTGTCAAATGCAAAAAACCCCACACTCTGTGTAATGTTCTCTGCTGTAGGGACCATCTGAAGAGGCAGAACATCTGTGTGCAGCCATCACCTTTCTCATGCAGTGCCCAGATATAAAATGCCTCTGTGACCAGTCTTGTTCAAGTCCCCTAACTGCAGATAGCAGCCAGCCTCAGAATTCTGAGATGTGTTGTCTTTGCTACTGCACTGGGAAGCCTGGTGAGAAAAAGAAGTGATCTCTTGTGCACCTTTGTTTGAGTGGGGAAATGCTGCGGCTGCTGTGTGCTGCCCACCTGATGTGTGTTCCATGTGAAGACTGTTCTCTGGGATGCATGCCACAGGAAACGGTCCAGGCCATTGACTGGATACTGCTTAGAGCTGTCCCACTGTTGGGTATAGATCTCAGGCCAACAAAGTGCAAACCTTGCCTGTGTTCAGTGGCTACAAGGCCAATTTCCATAACAAAGTGAATGCAATATTTTTAAAATATTAAAATAGAAATTTTAAAATATAAACCAAAACTCATGGGGAAAAAGCAAAAAAAAATGCTACTGGTTACAAATTGTAATTCGCCCACTTGCAGCTGTATAACAAGTCAAAATGTCACCAAGAAGTAAACCACTGCCCTCTTTTTTTTTCAGTGAATTAGGCATTACTTGAAATGATTTTCATATGAAATCTGAATGCCCTTATTTGCCATTTGGAAAGCATTAAAAAGAGTTCTGTTTATTTTCTGGTACATATTATTTCATGAGATTTTTTTTCTTGGTAGTTATGTTCTACTGTTTAGAATAGTAACACAGAATGAACTACCTAACTTTCTTTCTAGCTAAATTGAATGATTTACTGCTGTTGATCACCTCTCCCAGAGTGAAAAATAGCAGGAACAACTGTTAGTTTGGGATAAACAGATTTTGCTTCCAGCTGAAACCACACAGAGTGTTTTAGCCAGGAACCATAGGGGCAGTGCTGGCTGGGAGTGAATCAGCCCATCCATCTGAAGGCAAGCCTGCCATCTACTGAAGCCCCAACCCAACCTCTGCGATGTGCCTGGCAGAACTGAAACCAAAGTGCATATGCTGGTAGGTGTGCAGGCTTCCATCGCAACCTTTACAAGGCAAAGAGAAAAAAAAAAATGAAAGAACAAAACCCAGTTCAACTTTTAATCAAAACTGAGTATGCAGTATGAATCTTCATGGTTTTTCACTCTTGCTTCATTGTGTCTGATGTTAAACAAATTTGACAGTAAAAAGTAGATTGACTCTCTGTTTAATCTGACCATACATAAGAATATGCTTGAGTGAAAAGGATCACAGAAGATTATGAGATTTATGCCATCTTGAAGATATTGTGAGTGAAAATTCAAGCGAAGCCCTGGAAATAGCATCATGGATATCATGGGGCATTTTACTGTTTTGACAGATGTTTGATTTCTGTGAAAAGTTAATTGTGCTAATAAAGCAATTTCATCCTTATTTCACCATATGTACATACAAAACATTACAAAATTTAGTATTTGTAAGTTTTCTTTAAATTGTGACCACTAGGAAGTAAAAGAAAAGAAACTGTACAATTGTCAAAGCTTTTCATGAAATATTTTAATAAGGATGTAACAGTTTCCACATTAGCAATTTTTAGACTAAAAGGAGCTGACTCACAGTCCATTGAAGTGAATTAAGATTTTTTTTTTCTCTCATTTTGATGGACTTTGAATCAGACAACTTTAAAATACTAAATTTATACATTCATTTAACAGTACCTAAGTTTTGGTGAAAGAAATGTACAAAGTAGCATCCTGCTTTTTGCTGCTGAGAAAAGTTAAAGGGTATAATTTAACAAAAACCTGTAGTAAGTCCACCACCACAAATACTAGATGTCTTAACTGTCAACCTTACACTTAACACTGTACTTAAGCACTGCAGCTACGAGTACAATGCTATGGGTATGCTGCTACTAGAGATTTTTTTCCAGTCTCTTGCTTGAAATTGCCAGTAGTTATAATTAATACAACCACAGTATTGTGCTAGAGAAGTGATTTCTCACAGCTACTGGGACACTTGCCACTGTGTGACACTGTTAGCATAGGTGGTAGAAAGCAAAAAACGTAGCTGCTTATTTCAACTCAGTCCATACTGACTCTTCTGTGTGGGGTAAGAGGGAGTAGGGATGGATAGAAGGTTTAGTTTGATCAGCTGTCATTTACCAAAGAAAGCTTCATCAATCTATATGAAATTTGTTTTGTCACAAGAGGAGGAGAGAAAATTCAGGAGAGAATTTCTGTGGAGGAGACAATGTAAATGAAAGAGTTAGAAAAAATGACAATGTTTTTATCTGGAAAGGAGCCTTCTTGAGCATCAACCTTTTTAAATGCAACCTTGCAAGTAGCCACCACAGACGTAAGTACACAGTATAAATTGCTTCAGAAAAACACATTCACAACACTAGAATCAAATAAAAAATTAAACAAGAAGACATCTGGCACACATTAAAAACAAGAATTCTCAGAAATGAAACATTAAGAAGCTCTGGGTCAGTATATTACATTGGCAACATATGAAACCCATTTTATTGGGGTTTTTTTAGTGCAACAGAAGAAACTGGAGCTAGGGTAATAGCTATTACTGAACAGCTACTTTTTCTGTCAAGTATTTATTTCAGAGACTGGTGGAGATTTTTAAATGACTCCCCCTTTTTCCATATAGGCTAAAGTGACTTTTCCATCACCCAGGTCATTCAAAAACTGTCTCAACTCCCTTCATCGCTGTGTCACAGCTGATGTGTGAGCAGGCTCAACACAGCAGATTCACAGACTAGTGCTCCCTTTAAACTTTATTATCAACACACTTCATTGTGTGTGTGGACAGAATCAAACATTTCCCAGCTCAGAGGTCCCCCCAGCTTACATCTCAGTGAGTCCCAGCTCTCTCCTCCCTATGTGTCACAGGACTGCTTATCTCCCATTATCAGCAACCTGCCACGCAGCTCCAAAGCACAGCAATAATCAGATCTTTTCTAAGATCTTTCCTGCTCTGCTTCTGCCAAGTAGCACAGAGAGCCAAAGTCACAGTGAGTTGGAAGCTGTCTGCAAAGCAAATACATATCTCTGTGACTGTGCTGCTTCTTTCTTGGGGACTTTTTGCTCCCTGCTTTCTTTTTTATTCCAAGGGGAGGGAAGGGTAGGTGCAGAGAGATGCTACACACTCCTTCCTGGGGGAGGGCAAGGTATGTGTTGGGGGGAATTTTTCCAGCATTTCTAATCTCTGAAGGGGAGGTGTGTACTGACAGATGTTGAGCAGGGTCTTTTGCAGCTGGGGGGAGTCTGAACCTGAATGCTGGGGCTTGGCTTGAGGCAGGCTCGACTCAGTGGCCTGGGGTGTCCCACCAGCCAAGGGGAAGGGCAAACTGTACAAAAGATGGAGGGAGAGTCACTGCAGGACCTTTACAGCCATTTGTCAGACAGAGAGGAGTGGCACAGCCAGGCTACCAGACCCTAACCTAACCCATGAGAGCCACAATTCACTATGTGGATGTCAAAGCATCAGAGAATGCACCCGCTTTCAAGGGCAGCAACCAGGGTGCAGGGGGCAGCAAATCAAGAATGTGGGATTTTCCTCGCTCTTTCTTGCTCCAAATACTGCTGGCAGTGGGCAGGACCAAAATCCCCTCCCTCCCAGCCTCCCCATGCCACAGCCCTGGCTTCGCTCACCCTCCAGCTGGGGGGCAGTAAGGGAGCTGGGGGACAGGAATGCTTCCTCAGAGGGTGGTAATCCTGGAGGTGCAAGTGCCATTCCTGTACATGCTCCCTGACTCCAAGTTGTCTGGGGGAAAGTCCTCCACGCTGTATGCCCTGCTCTTGAGGGCAGTGGCATAGTAGTCGATGGGTTCTTCTGCAGCATTGTCCATCCAGCTGAGGCAGAGCAGCCGCTGGAAGGACCGCTTGAAATTGTCTGAGAGAAAACCATAGAGGATAGGGTTGGCACAGCTGTTGGCATAGCCCAAGATGACAGAGAGCTGGCTGATGGTGGCATCATCCTGCTCTACAAAGACATTGACCAGCTGCACAATGTAGAAGGGCATCCAGCAGATGACAAAGACCATCACCACCATCATGACCATGAGGGTGATCTTGCGCTCTGAGCGTTTGCGTTGCTGCCAGCCAGCCTTCAGGGCCACCATGCGCATCTTAGCAATGATGAGGATGTAGCAGAGGCAGATGGCCACCACAGGCAGCAAGAAGCCCATCAGAAAGGTGTAGACCACAAAGACCACCAGCCATCTCTGGGTGGGCTCTGGCATGAGCATGTTGCAAGCCACTGTTCCATCACTGTTGGCTGCTGTGTTGGAGAAGATGATGATGGGCAGGATGATGAGGATGGAAAGCACCCAGACACCCAGATTGACCATCTTAGCCACAGTGGGTCGGCGGTACCTGGCCGCCTTGATGGGGTGCACCACAGCGATGTAACGGTCCACACTGAGCACGGTCAGGCAGTAGATGCTGGTGAACATGTTGATGGCATCCACACTGAGCACCAGGCGGCAGAGCAGGGAGCCAAAGGGCCAGTGGTGCAGCAGGGTGGAGGTAACCAGAAAGGGGACGCTAAGCATCAGCAGCTCATCCGCGATGGCCAAGTTGAGGATGTAGATGTTGGTGGCTGTCTTCATCTTGGCATAACGTAGGATCACGTAGATGACCATGGAGTTGCCGCACAGCCCCACCAGGCACACCACGGAGTAGATGAATGAGATGAGGATGGCGCTGCCCTGAGACTCACTCAGGGTGCTGTTCGGAGCGCCGGAGGAATTCCTGCCGCCCGAGTCCATGCCCTCCGCCGCCGCCTCCTCCGAGGCGCCACCGGCTCCGCCGCCACCACTGTCGCTGCCGCCGCTGTCGCTGTCGCCGCTGTCGCTGCCTGCACCGCCCGGAAGCCTGGGGCAGGTGCCATTGGGGAGCATCCTCTGCCCGGACCCCCCCGCCCCGGCTCAGAGCAGCAGGCGTCCGCCGCCGGCTGCGCTGGGCACCATCCCGTCAGGGATGCGGCGGCTGCGGGACGCGGGCATCGGCAGAGAGGCGGCTGCCAGCGCCGCTCGCTCCGAGAGGCGGCAATTGCTGCTCCCCGGCTGGTGAATGATTAATAGCAGCGGCGCGTCACCAGCTAAGGAAAGAAGGAGGGAAAGAAAAAAAAAATGCAGGAGGAGACGTAAGTGGGTGTCCCTTCCCACCCCCCACTCCCCTTGCCCGCCTCCCATCCCGCCCTCCGGCTGTTCGCAAATCCGACAGCTCTAGGGCAGCCTATACCCTGTTCCCACTGCCCCACACTACTCAGTGCCCCCCGATCCAGCACTTCTCTCCCCACCCAGTATTGCTTCCCCCACCTCCCACTGATCCCCCTCCGTCCACCATCCTCTCCTCCCCTCCATTCTCCGCTGCTCTCCCTCCACGGCACCTAGGTCCAGACCAGGGGCACCCCTGGCAAAGGGACCGTCCTTTCTCCGTTAAGAAAAACGCCTGTGTCTTGCGTGGGGGGGCAGTGTTACCTGGACAAGCATGCCTCATGTCTACGCAGCTGCTGTAACCCTCTCCTGTCACCGCACCATGTGCGTTGCCCACCTCACAGTGCTGGCACCAAGCACGGCACCGACCGATAAAGCACAAACGTTCAACCCTATGCACACAGTACTGTCCGTACCTCCTAACACCACTCAGCTCCTCGCCCCCTACCTTGTCCTGTCCCACCACCACCACCACTAGATATCACGCATGAGCAGCCCTGCCCCTCTCCACATATTCTGTCCCAAAAAATGCCCCCCCACCCCCCCATCATATTCTAACACCCCGGCACATTTTGCCTCTGTCTGTCACATCCAAGAGTGAGTGAATTTGCACACTGCAGCTTGACACGACTATTTACACAACAGTGGTGCCAAGACCATCTCATGCTGTCCACTCCTCTGTCCCCACACATCTGCTTCCAGTCATAGGAATCCAATCAAGCTCAACCAGTACATGCTGCCTCACCAGTGTTACAGCCCTCTCTCTTAATATTGTACCTAAAACATATGTATATCCCTGATAGGATTGTATCCACACCAGGGGAGTCTATAAACCCTCCTGAGCCTGTACAGTGACACAAGCCATTGGCATCATCTCCCTGTCACTACATAACTTCTTCCATGCTGTACCCACTGACCACTTCCATTCATTGACCTATTCTGTGCTATTTTTTACATACACCCTGATTCTAGATGAGCACACATGCACCAGTACTGCCTCATATTGTCATCTCTAGGCAGACACTGACACCTTAAACACCTCATCCACACCACTAGTTCTAAACACACATGAAATTTTCAGATAGTCCTAATACTGCATCTCTGTTCCCTGGCAAGCAAAGTTTCCTTTAAAAAAGAGCATGACCTTCCCATACACCTCTCTTTCTGGGCAATATGTTTCTTCTCCCAATATGCTATTGTTCTGAGTATACAATCTGTCCTAATATGCTTGTACATAACTACTAAATCAATTTTCATATATCACCACCATCATTCTTTATATACCACCTGATCATTCTGTATTAACTAGACATGGTTACTCACTAGTGCGCACAGACCCTCACTCTCACTGCATCACTCACTGCATCAACACTCCCTCAGCGCAGGCATGCACACAAAATACTCAGTAAATGCTTATTTATTCTGTTGGCTGGAGACCCCCATCTGTGTGAGCAAAGCACACCTGTATGGGTAATGACCTGTCTCTTCGCATGAACTGCTGCCTGAGAGCACCACCCACTTTTGTCGAGAACAGCAGGTCCACATCACACAAATATCACCACAGTGCATATGCTGCTATATGCTCCCCACAGCACCACTATACTCAGCATCACACACGCATCCTTGCAACCTACGCATTTTACCATGCATACCCATCACCTCCTACTGTTCACACATCTTGTTATCACCGTCTGCCCACCATCACAATTATGCATATTATCACTACCCACCACTTTAATATGCAGATACATGCAGCATAACCATCAATTGATTACAACCAATCATCAGGAATTTATTCTCTCTAGAGCCATATATATCCTTATACCCCTCACTAGCACCAGCATCTCTTCAAACACATGCATGTAACCTCTCTGTATGACTTTCCTCATACCAGTCATCACCTCTAGTCATACACACCTAGGCACTCCCATATGATGGGCATGTGCTGTTTGACACCTTGTCAAGGGTATTACATTTAGCACATGCACACTTTTGCATGACCCTTACCAAGCTGTTTCATTTTCTTCTATGTTTAAAGAGCAGATTGTGAATACATATAGATGTATATATACACCCCTACACATTATAAAAATAACCTTATTCAGTTTTTAGGAATTGCATACACATTCTATTTGGATGATTCTCTGTGACTTCTGAGGACTTTTTTTGTTTATATTCTAGTATAGAAATGCATTTATTGAGCAGCCTTTGCAAATGTTCTTACCATTCCTAGGACTGTTCCTGTATATGGGGGTTTTAGATGTTTGAACACTTGGGGGTGTCATACAAATTAAAATTCATACTTACATTTGGGGTTTTAGAGGCTGTATGTTCTGATGTGTTAGCATCAGAGCTTCCAGCATACAGAGAAAAAAAAAAATTATTTAACACCATGGAAAATTTTTTCTTGCAATGTGCTATCTGACACTGCTCAAATTTCTGAAATTACATAAATTCAGCTGAAGAATTATCTTCTTTAACGTTTACATACTGAGAAAATATGAATCAGCTTTCAGTCATTGATATGAGAAGGAGCAGAAGTCAATAGCTGCAAACTCATCAACAAGAACATCTGGTTGATTTCAGCACTTTAGTCTGTTTGAAAACCTGTAGTTCAAATATAATCCAATTTTGGTTTACATTAACATTTGTTTTAAGGGTCATTTACTTATGGAACACAAATCAAAGGGTTTTCCTCTTTCATACTGTTATAAATTGGCATTTAGACATTTTATTAATGCTGTTGCCCTTTTCCACATTACTTTGCCATGCTTGGATCTGGCCATGCCCTGCATCCAAAAGGGTCAGTAAAAACCCTTGAGTTGAAGTAGATATGGGTATGGTGTTCTTTCTTACTGCATTTATTCAAAATAAATCACTTATAAATTGTAATTCCTGCAACAGTACTAGCCCCATTAGGCATCACACACATACCTGCTTGACACAAGTGCTCAGGAAAAAGAAATGCTATCATAGGCATAATTATAATAATGTACCCTGTGTTATAGCATACACTGAGAAGGTCTGATAGCTCCATTCACTGAAGTTTCCTTTGGATATGGAATATTTCACAACAGAGAATGTTACCACCTTCCAAAAAGGAATTGTTTGAGCGCCTGCTTAGTCACTTAGATCGATTCCTCTAACAAAGGTTATAGGTATTAATTTACTGAGAATTTATAGCTATTGATCTTTACAAATGTTCAGTGTTGCTCAAGATTTTTAACCTCAACTATTTGATAAAGCAGAAATGTTTGATCAGAAATAACACATTTTATTATCTCAGTAATGATTCACTGTCATTATAAATCACAGAATCACAGGACCACTAGATTGGAAGAGACCTTTAACATCGAGTCCAACCCAGATCATTGAGTCCAACCCAAGATCACCGAGTCCAACACAATCAAAGATTCTTTTAAAGCAGAAATTCTGACATAAACCAATTCTAACTTGGGAACATACTTAGAAATTTTATTTTCTTAGACTTTATTGTTTTGCCTAAGGACTTTATCTGGAAGGAGTGGGCCAGAGGCCTAAACTTGTGTTTAAAATCCACTTGTCACAAAATGGGGAAGGACAGCTTGACATTCTTAACACATTCTGCAGGTTGGCCAAAGACGTACACAGATGCTTCCCAATTTTTTTTGTAGCAACACCTGCCTCTCATGGATGGGAGGAAAAAGAGTTATCTCTCAAATACAAATAAACTTCTGGGTCATGCTGGGAAGTCTAGGACTAAGACTTAGGCTGTGCCTGGGGTTAGAATTAGTGTTGAGACAAGAAGCCCTTAGCTCCAGTGGGGGTGCAAGGGGGAGGATCAGTGGAGGGGTAGTCTGTGCAAAGAGTTCATACCAGAACACTTGTTTGTGCCACTGGGATAACACTGGGCATCTCAGGCTACAGTTCATCCCATGCCTATGCTTATGGTAAGGTCAGGACAGAGATGAAGCCAAGAGCTCCAGCTGGAAGGGGTTGAAAAGGGTTTAAAGGCTGAATAAGGTAGGGGAAGACTCCAGAGATGCTATCTCCTAACAGTTTTCTCCCCTGTGCTATAGGATGGGGACTCTGGGTAGGGTAAATATTTTGACTGCTTGTATCTGACCCTTGGACTGGGGCTAGAAAGGAGACAAAGCCAAGAGCTCCAAGGGAGCTGAACTTTAATAGGGGCTGCTAAAGGGTGAGGAGAAGACTGCAATATTTTTTCCCCTGTCCACATTCTCCTACAGGAAATGGTGAGGTTGTCAGGTTAGGGTCCATTCCAAGCACATTGTAGGGTTAGACTTAGGTGAGGCAAAGCCCAGAGCTCCACATGATGAAGCCCTTCCCAGTGATAATCAGAGCTCAATCCCTTCAGCTCTATCTGAAGTATTTGAGGCAAGAGTGCCAGTGGCAATTAGAGTAGCTTGCTGGCAAATATTTTTCCTGATGGTGGCGAAAAGCTGACACTCAAAATCTCCAATTTAAAAAAGCCTACAAACAGCTCACAAGGCAGATGATATCTTTTCTCTCTGTCAAGATACATTTCAGCTAGTGAAATGTGTCTCGAGTATTGTGGCAAGAAAAAGGAAACAGTCATGACATATAAAATGAGGCCTATGGTAATTCATTAAATATTTAAACTTGAATATGAACATTTTCATATGCATATGAACAGTTTTCTTCAGTATCTTTCAACTTTTGATCACAACAATGATGTGGTAGC